GGAGAACGGAGGAGAAGGGATTGTGGCATGGCCATCCCCACTTGGGGGGTGATTTCTCACTTTCTGTCTCTCTCTCTCTCTCTCTCTCTCTGTCTTGCGAGCACACACGCCCTATAGCAAAAACCTCCTCCCCACCCCCAAACAAAACGGGTCATGCTCCATGTACTTGTCAAGTTCAACAGACTGAAGGTCACTGGAGGGCAGGAGCTGAATGAAAGAGAAAGCGTGTAGCTGGCGTGACTTGGAAATGTACCAGAACCACAGTTGGCCCAGGGCTCCCACTGACATAGAGCACGGGGAAGGGCAGGAGCGAGAGAGAGAGGCCCCGTGTGAGGAGATGGTTCAAGCCGGGCTCGTTCAAGGGCTCCGGACACCACCAGAGACTCCAGAACCTAGCTCTTTACAAGCTGCCTGAGATTCTGTGAATACTTAGCAAATAATAATGCAATTATAACTCATTTATGGAGAGTCTACGCAACGAGTTCTAAGCAAAGATGTTAACAGAAATCATCTCATCTACCTCTCATACCACGTCACGTACACGCATCCACAGTGAGGTCGGTGGCAGTGAGGAAAAAATGAGGCCCAGAGCCATGAGTAACTGACCAGCCCGTGTCACGGAGCAAGCAGTGATGAAGGAGTCAACCTTAGGACGAAGAAGAGAGCAAACTCTATGTGCCTAGGAATGAGGAATCTGAGTCACTACAAAACTCTTGGCACTTCGTGACGGGGTGGGAGGAGAAGGTGAGCAGGAAAATGATGCCGGCCAAACGCCTGTCCTGACAACCTCCCCTCAGCCCTCCCATGTCCTCTCCCTGCTCTACAACTAAGACGACAGAGACAGTTCAGGGGTATTTGCAGCTGTACTGTTGCGTGCTTAAAACTGACTATGGAGGGACCATCAGTTGGCGTAATGGCTATGTCACCAGACTCCGGCTCGAGTAGTCGACCATGGTTCGAGTCCCGGACCCGGAGGCTTAAACTCACTCCGGGCATGTGTGTGCGCGTGCCCAAGATACCGAGAGGAGAATCACCCCGGGGGGTTATTTCTCACTTTCTGTCTCTCTGTCTCTCTCTTTCTGGTGAGCACACGCGCCCTTTAGAAAACTCTCAAAAAATAAAATAAAACTGACTATGGGGAGAGAAAGATTTGATTTGATGCCTTTGCCAATTTCTACAGTGTAAATAATCCCACAGTGACCAATTTGAAGTTCCCAAGTTGGTATCGACTACTTCGTATTTTCCCAGAAATGTAATATGAGGCGACTGAACAGGCTCAGGTTCAGGAATCAATTCCGTTCTAATAATGTGTGCTAGAAATAAGGATTCCCCGATGCCCCTGCCTAAGGAATATGCATTGTTGTAGCACCCTTTAGGGGCCTCATTCAGATATTCCTTACAGTGGCTACTGCGAAATCTGCTTCAGCTCTGCACCCATACAGCCTGAGTCAGCTGTCTAAGGTGTACACACGAAGGAGTCAAAGTCCCAGTCTTGGGAGACTGCGGATCCCAGAAAGCGCCATCCTAAAGCATAAGAACAGATTTAGTGGATCTTTCTTTTATTTTATTTTTTTTTTTTTGAGAGGTTTTCGCTATAGGGTGCATGCGCTCGCCAGACAGACAGAGAGAGACAGAAAGCGAGAAGTCACCCGCCAGAGGGGATGGCTGCGCCGCAATCCCTTCTCCTCCATTCTCCTCTCGGGATCTTGGGCACGCACGCACACGTGCCCAGCGTGAGTTTTAAGCCACCGGGTACGGGACACGAACCGCAGTCGACTACGTGGGAGTCCAGCAACATAGCCATTATGCTAACTGCTGGTTCCCAGATTTAGTGGATCTTGATAAGCTGAAAAGAGGTCCCTCTAAGTTAGGACAGTATTCAACTCGTGAAAGAGCAAATTAGAGGTTTAAATACAAATAAAAACAAGACTGAAAGAGACAAATTAACTACACCTACACATCTTGAGAGAAAAAAAGGTCATAACAAATTATAGAATACCAGTATGTCAAACCCAAATAAAATAAGATTATGGAACTGGGGATTAAGACCTCTTGGGTGCCAGGGACCAGGGAATGGTGCAGGAGTTAAACACAACTGCTCTGCAGGGCTGACCCCCATGGGAAAGCTCCTGGTTTGCGTCTGAAGACTCCACGGAGTGTGCTGGGTGCACAGGTGCCCACGAGTCAGGGCTGGCTGAAGCTGGGGGCACAGTATAGCATTAAGATACTACCAGAGGGGAGCGGCAGATTGTGAAATGGCTCCACAGCTAGACCCCCACATAGTCGACCATGGTTTGAGTCTTAGACTCAGCAGCTTAAAACTCATGTCCAGCACATGTGTATGCAGGCCCAAAATCGTAAGAGGAGGGCAGAGAAGGGATTGCAGCATGGCCATCCCCCATGAGGAGGTGATTTCTCACTTTCTGCCTCTCTCTCTCTCTCTCTCTCTCTCTCTCTCTTTCTGTCTTATCGACTACTTCGTATTTTCCCAGAAATGTAATATGAGGCGACTGAACAGGCTCAGGTTCAGGAATCAATTCCGTTCTAATAATGTGTGCTAGAAATAAGGATTCCCCGATGCCCCTGCCTAAGGAATATGCATTGTTGTAGCACCCTTTAGGGGCCTCATTCAGATATTCCTTACAGTGGCTACTGCGAAATCTGCTTCAGCTCTGCACCCATACAGCCTGAGTCAGCTGTCTAAGGTGTACACACGAAGGAGTCAAAGTCCCAGTCTTGGGAGACTGCGGATCCCAGAAAGCGCCATCCTAAAGCATAAGAACAGATTTAGTGGATCTTTCTTTTATTTTATTTTTTTTTTTTTGAGAGGTTTTCGCTATAGGGTGCATGCGCTCGCCAGACAGACAGAGAGAGACAGAAAGCGAGAAGTCACCCGCCAGAGGGGATGGCTGCGCCGCAATCCCTTCTCCTCCATTCTCCTCTCGGGATCTTGGGCACGCACGCACACGTGCCCAGCGTGAGTTTTAAGCCACCGGGTACGGGACACGAACCGCAGTCGACTACGTGGGAGTCCAGCAACATAGCCATTATGCTAACTGCTGGTTCCCAGATTTAGTGGATCTTGATAAGCTGAAAAGAGGTCCCTCTAAGTTAGGACAGTATTCAACTCGTGAAAGAGCAAATTAGAGGTTTAAATACAAATAAAAACAAGACTGAAAGAGACAAATTAACTACACCTACACATCTTGAGAGAAAAAAAGGTCATAACAAATTATAGAATACCAGTATGTCAAACCCAAATAAAATAAGATTATGGAACTGGGGATTAAGACCTCTTGGGTGCCAGGGACCAGGGAATGGTGCAGGAGTTAAACACAACTGCTCTGCAGGGCTGACCCCCATGGGAAAGCTCCTGGTTTGCGTCTGAAGACTCCACGGAGTGTGCTGGGTGCACAGGTGCCCACGAGTCAGGGCTGGCTGAAGCTGGGGGCACAGTATAGCATTAAGATACTACCAGAGGGGAGCGGCAGATTGTGAAATGGCTCCACAGCTAGACCCCCACATAGTCGACCATGGTTTGAGTCTTAGACTCAGCAGCTTAAAACTCATGTCCAGCACATGTGTATGCAGGCCCAAAATCGTAAGAGGAGGGCAGAGAAGGGATTGCAGCATGGCCATCCCCCATGAGGAGGTGATTTCTCACTTTCTGCCTCTCTCTCTCTCTCTCTCTCTCTCTCTCTCTCTTTCTGTCTCTCCAGAGAGCATGTGGACCCTATAGTAAAAAATCTCTTTTAAAAAATAAAATAAAGATACAGTAGTAGAGCTACCAGGTGGCAGGGTGGTTAAGACACTGGATTCCCACAGGGCTGACCACAGTCTGGTCCATAACCTGGTGGCCTGAAAATCACACCAGGTGCCTGCACCTGCATGCTCAAGATCCCGAGAGGAGAATGGAGGAGAAGGATTGTAGTGTGGACAGCCCCTCGGGGGGGTGAGTTCTCACTTTCCCTCTAACTGTCTGTCTCTCTCCAGGGAGCACACGCATCCTATGGCAACAACAAAAATCAACAACAACAATATTACTGGGGATCTTTCTCTTTCTATTCTGGAAGAAATAAAGAAACTTTAAAAATAAAAAAATAACCTTTTGGGTTCAGATTTACTTGCTTCTCAGGATGCTGGGTTAAGTTTGATTTCCTGAGTGGACGTACATCCCTACTTTCATATCCTGATCCCAGCGCAAGTGACCATTGCTTCAAATTCTGGAGGAAGGTGGTGGTGGGGGGGTCTAATCCCTGCTCTCACATCAACCTGTGAGTGCCCAACTGCCACTCCCCCTTCACTGGCTATTTTATACTCCATCAGAAACACAGGAAAAGCTGTGACAAGGAGTTTGTTTCAGAAAGGCAAATACTGCATCTTCTGTCCCTTCCAACGCACCGAAAGTATTTAGTTGGGTGCCCTAAATCCTTCCTGCAAATGTGTTACCATGAAAAAAATTAACTTTCAAGTTTCTCCCGGGCTTTGGGTTGACGGTGGGTCATTTAGGAAATGATTCATCCGTCTTTAAATGATAAAGGCCTAGTCAGAAGTAGGAATGCCATGGGGACCTAAGGGGGGAAGAAACAAGGAACTGCTGAAACTAGATCACCCACGTTTGCCTTTCCAGTGAAAAGGCCCCTGGAAACAGGGTTGGGATGATTAGGGAAAGGTGAGGAACAGGTTGGACTGCAGAGAGAGAGTCCCAGAGACCAGCCGCGTGGCAGGCGTCCGCTGCCCAAGGGTACAAACGGCTACTAGTGATGTTTGCTTTACTGACCCGCGTGCTGTCCTCATCCCGAGTGCAGTTTGTCTATCACCTTAGCACCAGACTCGGGGAGCACAGTGAGAGCTAATCACATCCAAGGGGAAAATATTTGACCCTTATTATGGTGTTCTAAACCCAGGCAAGTTTTCTGTGAAGACTTGTCCTCTTCCATTACCTAGCTATTGCTAAAATTATTACTCTTCTCGGGGCAGGACTGGGGTGCAGAGGCGCGATGCGATGCTCTGAGAGGCTCACCCACCGGAGGCTGACCTGGATTCTGACGCCAAGACTTCCCGAATGCCTGCCCACGTGTACCCACGATCAGGGCTGGAGGGGCTGGGTGGGTCACGGCATCCAGAACCTGGTGAGGGTGCACTCTCACTTACGGGTTAGATAGATAGATACTATTTAAATTACATTCTTCCTAGAGGAATAATCTGCAGAGAATAAAGTAGATAGGCCATTGGTAGGAAATGATGACTATTTAAAATAGCTTTAGAAAAAAATGTTAATAGACGCTTTTTTTTGATTTTTGGGTTTTTTTGGAGAGGTTTTTGCTACAGGGTGCGTGCGCTCACCGGAGAGAGACAGAGAGACAAAAAGCAAGAAATCACCCCAGGGGGGATGGCCACACAGCAATAATTTCTCCTCCATTCTCCTCTCAGGATCTTGGGCACACACGCACACGCACCCGCCGTGAGTCTTAAGCCACCGGGTCCAGGACTCGAACCGCGGTCAACTACATGGGAGGCCAGCGACATAGCCATTACACTAACTGCTGGTCCCAAAGGTATGTGCAGTACCTATCCCTAGAATTTATCTTCAAATAGAAACATGAACACCTTTTCATTGTTTTGTTTTGTTTTTTTTTTCCCCCTCTGGACAAAGCAAGAGAAAAATAAGCAACTCAACAGGTCCCACACAATGACAATCCCTATCCTTCTGCTGCCCCCTCCCCCAGCCAGCCTGGGTTCCAGGCATGCACGTGGACCTGGATGCCCAGGCGGACCTGGGAGCCAGATCGCAGCCTCCGGTATGGTCTCCAGCATCACAGGGAACTGGGCTGCCCCCTCCCTGTGCCCCCAGCTGGGCCAACAAAGCTCCTTTGAAGGGGAAGCAGTACTATCAGTAAGGAGATTCTACTCAATGCCTCTAGCAGGGCTTGCAAGGCTACAGAACTGCTCTGGTTACACTGTATCTATATAATGCACGTTCTCACTCTAACTTGAACTCATGGATACAAATGTTATTTTTGTAAGCTCAGTAAAGTAGTTAACACATTTTAGAAAATCATTTGTGAATCATCTATTCAAATTATAATCAATTCTCAAATTATGGAAAACATTTAGGATTTTCTATATGCTGCCTGCAAAAAAAAATTATTAGCCACTGAACCAATTCATTTTTAGCAGCAAATACTTTATCGTTGAATCACTTGTTTTAAGTTTTGTCAAAATGCCTAATTACATTTGTGAAGTTTTACAAAATTTTTAAGCTTATTTAGTTATTCTCAAAAAAGCTAAATTTGATATACATACATGTAAATTAAAGAATGTAAATTAAGCAATATGCCTCTTATCCTATTGTATACTTAAAATAACTTATTAGCGACATAGTGTTTTGTGTTGTTGATAACTAAGTTAAGGGAAACACGCTGCAGTCTCATCTTGTTTTAATTAATTTTGAAAATGGATAAAATATATTTATAAATCATTTCCATTTTCTGTTCTAGTAATGAACTTTTAAAAGACTCATCCCATGACCTTGTCTGGGTAGTTTTCCTTATATTGCTCAAAACAGAGGACACCTTATTTGAACTGAAACAATGAAGACAGACTGTTTCTGATACAAAGTAAATTTTTTGGAATTTTTTGGCTACTTAGACTATGAAAAGGGTTGTATGTACTAGGCTGTAGGATAAATATTTTCCAATCTTGACAGATATTTTCGACTTGAATGAGCTAAAAGTGCAGCTGCAATGTTTTGACGAAAAAATATAATTCAACCACCTGAAAACATTTTACCCAGATCTATGAAACTGAACATTTAGATGTTTCTCAAACTTCAAGTATATTAGGTTAAGCAAGTACATCTCACTGAAAAAATTATAATAAAACAAATCTAATTCTTAGTCATTTGACATCCTGATAAAGCCTATGTGGAATGTTCCCCAGAAACCAAAAAAGTGAAAGAACTAAGTGAACAAATTCTTTTACAGGCCTAGTGGTTTTCAAGTTTCGGTTTTCAATAAAATTGAAGGAGCGTGCAATTGAACAGTTTATGGATCCTCAATTCTAACATTTCGAAGTCAAGAACTGAATGACTGCTACAACGAAGCTCCACTCCCAGATACAGCACTTGTTTACGGTAGTTTCTAAAAAGCGTAAAAATTAAAAAGCCATGACATTCATGGGCAAATACATGGATTTTTAAAGCAACACCATTTCAACTGAGATGCATTTTCCAATGAAATTTACATCCAACCGAATCGTTAAGAACGTGGTATTTATGTGGTTCCGAACGGCCAGTGCTACCGGTGTTAAAGAGGAGGCGTTTGGGCTGCGGAGCCGCACTTCCCTCCCGGCTCAGCTCCCCTTGCAGTTCGGGACAGCAGCTGGCTCCGGCTGTTTCCCAGGACCGGCCGAGCTAACGGGCGTACGCGCAGGCACTGCAGCCGTACCGGCACGAAGCGCTGCGACAGCAGCTCGGCCCGTTACTCTCCTGGCGCTTAAAGCGGAACCTTTGACACCATGCGCCGGTGGGTTTACCCTCACCGACGAGAACGGGGGCGGTGGGTCCGGGGCCCGTGCTGGGACGGAGGAGGCCGAGGAGACGGGGACCCTGCACACGCTGTGGACAAAACCGGGCAGGGCCACGGGCTGGGGACTCGGAAAACGCCATCCCACCCACGGTTCGCCTTCTAAGTGCCCACGGACGGCGGCCG